GTTTCAAATGGCAGCACAGAAAAAAGTGACTTACAACCAGTTCTCGCTCTTACGACCTTTTGCCGCATTCCCCATGGTCATGTGATCAAAATTCAGCCACTTGGCAACCGGCAGTTTTTTTTTTACAATGGACGCAGCATCTCGGGATGGCTGTTATGCGACCGTTTTAGCCACTTCTGACAAGCTGGATTCCTTTCATGAGCTCACGATTCACTTAAGAGCTGCGGTGATTTGCTTAACAATCATGCCCCCCCCAAAAAAGGTCCTAAAACTGGATGCAACTCATTTAACGACCACCTTGCTTAGCAATTCCCGATTGTGGTCGTAAATTGAGGACTACCTGGAATGAGCCATGCTTCTTTTGGGGTTATTATGTTGAATCTTCCATCCCAGATAAACCTGCAGCTTCTTAGGGTGGGTGTTTCCTAACTTCACCCGCAAAGATCTACACTTCTGAAATGAATCCATTTTGGATTTGAGAAAATCAGTTTGGTCTAACGCAGGGGTAGGCAACCTGGGCTCTTTTATGACTCCTGGACTTCAACTCCCAGAATTCCTGAGCCAGCCACGCTGAGGGAAAAGGGAGAGGTTTTCATGCTGAGCCATGCTAGCTCAGGAATTCTGGGAGTTGAAGTCCACGAGTCATAAAAGAGCCAAGGTTGCCTACCCCTGGTCTAATGGTTAAGGCACCAGGCTCCCCACAGAGTCATGGGTCAATCACCTGGAGACTGTGAGTTCTAATCCTGCCTGAGGCATGAAAGCCAGCTGGGTGACTAGCCCTCCTCTCTCTCTCTCTCTCTCTCTCTCTCTCTCTCTCTCTCTCTCTCTCTCTCTCTCTCTCTCAGCTCACATGATTGTTGTTGTGGGGAAAATAAAAAGAGGAAGATGTATTAGATATGTTTGCCGCCTTGAGTTATTTGTAAAAATAATAAAGGTTGGAAATAATCCATAAAAATCCACTCTACAGGGCTGCTGATGCGTAGCAACCCTCCCTCTCCGTCTCATCTCTCCCTCTTTTTAATAGTCTCTCCGTGAATCAAATCCACAATGCTTCGAGGAAATGCAGCAGGCAGATAAATTCTATGCATCACTGTGTGTATTTTACACAAGGCATGCCAGACACTAAGCCATTGCTAACACAGGTAAATTGGTTTAATGTAACCACTGATTATAACAACTTAGTTGCTAACGCAGGACATCACAGAGTTCACAGACAGCGGAAAATGAAAGAGAGAATCTTAAACTTTATAAATACTCCAGACATCTGGCTGATCCCGGCATTCCCCACTGCCACCTTCTCTACTTCTGATCCAGCAGGATCCAGAACCAGGAGCCCTCTGTGTGTGCCCCATTTTGGAATCCAATTCCTACTCGTGCTATCATAGCCTGAAGGGGAAAGTGAGTGATAGCAGAAGCATCCAACTGTTGGGGGGGGCAAAAGCCACACCTGGCCTTTGAACAGCACCTCCTGAGCTCCGAGGGGGCACAGATGTGTGTGTGTGTGTGTGTGTGTAACCTACATTTAAGTAGACCCCAATGTCAATCAAGTGAATATTTCAGCTCTTTTGTTGTGCATGCAACTATTTTTTTCTCCTCTTGGTTGCATTCAGCACCAGAAGTCGGTAACAACTTTAAAAAGGTGCCCTGAGGATACAGCCAAGGTTTGTATGAGAAAAGCAGCCTGGAAAATACAGCTTCTTCCCTACTGATATCTTACAGAGTATCAACACTGCTATAGAAATATTCCAAATCAAAGCAACCGGTTTATGCTCAGCTCTATCCTTCAATCTTATGGACAAACACATATCTTTCCTATCAGAGCTGTCTCCGTTCTATGCTCCACTTAGCTGCAGAGGTCCCCAACCTTGGCAACTTTTAAGACTTGTGGACTTCAACTCCCAGAATTCCTCAGCCAGCTTGGCTGGCTGAGGAATTCTGAGAGTTGAAGTCCACAAGTCTTAAAGTTGCCAAGGTTGGAGACCCTTGGCTTAGAGGCCAGTCTGCCATACACTGGTGTGGAGAGGAGCTGGGTGGGGGGAGAGACTTAGAGGGGGAACCTGCAAGCAAGACATGGGAAACCAAAAAGGATAGTTGTGCCATCCGGAGACATCTCAAGGCCGTGATCCTGGGAATGGAATGCAGCACCTAGCCATCTACCAACCACGATAGATAGGGACCGTTACCAAAACATCTTCTCCAAATGCAACTAGACAATGGGAAGATAAAGGGGCCTTGGGGAAGGGGAAAGTTTAACCTATGGATTTTCCCCCACTCAGACTTTAGTTCTGGCTTCACATTACTGTAACCATTTGGCTTTCAGTAAAACTAACCTTTCCACTTCAAATGGACCGGAGCACGGTTCTTTCCTAAAGGCCCACTGACATGTCCACTCAGTTTTGTGCAGAGTTCCCCATTTCAAATATTGGTGACACACACACCAATGACACTCATTCCTGCTCTCTTAACAGTGTACTAGGATACCCAAAGCAGGTGTTACAAACAAACCAGCATTGAAAAAAGCCGGAAGAGAAAGAACTCAAGTTTTACAAACTGCACAAGTGGGGTACAGAGTCCCCTCCCCTAGGAATTTACACTTTATTATGCGCTCCAATTATGCAGAGTAGATAGTTACACAAAGAATGAATTAATTTCATCCCCACCCACACCCCCATCCCAAACTCTTGAGAATTTTAGTTCGGAGCAGATGGCAAACAGAATGGAGTAGTTCGTCAGCAACTTCACATTACTTTTATTAAAAGTTAGAGGCCCGCTCAATTTATTGAGGTTGATGTCTGAATTAACGTGCACTAAGTCAGTTATTACACCAGATGGAAACTCTTACAGGGAACGGAGCATTATAGAATAAGATCTCCAACAGTTTAGTTATCATTCAGCAAAGGAATTTCCGTAAAGTCCCAGAAAACATTAAAGAAATTATGTTTGAACAGAATTAAAATTAGTTCATTTTGATCTGTCCTCACAGGAGCTCAGTTTGGGGTTGAGGTTCCCTTTATTTGCCCACAGCCAACAAATATACATTATTTCGGTAACATGTAAGACATAAGTTATTTGCCCTAAATGACAAACACAAGTTTATAGCCAAGGCTTACGCCTTGAATGGGGAGGGGGAAGCAAAACTTGTTAAGGAGTAACTAAGCATTGTTAAAGCATCTCAGTCTGGTCCCAATCTAAGAAAAAAAATACATAATAAACTAGCCCATAAAATGAAATGACTAATTTCCCATTCATGTCATTAGATATTTAGGGGAAATGTGCAAGACAAACATCTGGCTGAGTTTTCATTCCTGAAAATAAACAAACAAGAGTCCACTACAGATATTGGACCAAAAGGGATTTCAAACACGCATAGCCCATCATTCTGCTTTCCATAATGACCCTGGCAATTAAACGCTACCTTAAAAGGAGAGATAGCATTAGTTAATAATACATATTGTTTCAAAGGGGGCATGTTAATCAACAACAACTAGGCAAAAGGAGAAAATAACAATTTTGACCATTTCCATGCAAGGGAGAAGAGGAACATAGTTAAGAGGATGGGAGGAGAGATCAAACAGCCAGTGAAGTACACATTCTGTAGGTTCCAAGGAGTGGACACGTTATTCTACAACCCTATCGCCACTACCTCCAAGCCTGAGCCATCACAGCACTAACGTCCACTGGTGTTTGTGTCATCAGTGGGGTCATAAACAGAAGACACGCGTTTGCTAACCCTACAAGGACCGCATGCAATTTCATTCCATCTACCACTTCTCAAGAAGTCTAACTTTTACCAACTATCAGAAAGTGGAAAAGAAGAATACAGCCCATTGAAGATTCACATTTTAGGGGCGGGAGGGGACAGAACAGTGCCATGTTTTGTTTCAGCTCCCACTTCACACGCCCCAAGTGGACTTTTCCAAAGTCTGCAACTTTCCCTCCAGCAGCAGTTTAGATGGGGACGAAGCTACATTTGATTGTGCCGGATGCACACAGTCCTGCCACCCACCCACCTGCCTCTCCTATACACGCACATACAGCATGTGGGAAAGGAAGGGGGGGCATCTTGAAATTCAGGACTGGACGTTGTTGAAGCGTTCCCCCCCCCCTTTTTTTTTTTAAAGGCCACCATCTCCATCTTACGGAAGTGGATCTTAACACCCTTGCCAACCCGTGGGGAAAGGAAAGGGCTTGAGATCCCAGGGCCGGGAGGGGGCTGCCACCCCTGGCATCCTCACTATCTCGAGCTGGATCGGCAAGGCAGGGCCATCTCTCCCCTCCCCCCATACACACACACACACACAGCCCACGCCTTCACTTTCACTGAACTGGAAAAGCCACCGGGAGAGAGTAAATTTTGCACAGAAGGGAGTTAGACAAAACTACCCGCGCCTTTGTTTGATAAGGACATTCCCGGGAGAGGAGACTGGAAGGGAGAAGGAAGGGGGGGGGGATGGAAGAGATAAGGAGCCTGCCCCGACGCGGCCACCTGAAGGAGCCAGTTGTAGGTGGGTGGGTGGGGGGGGAGTGCATCCCTGACCCCCCCCCTCCCCATCTCTCCGCCGGCTTCTTGCCCTCCTGGTCTCCCCGGCGCAACCCAAAGCCACCCAGCTCCAATCTGTGCGCGCGTTACCAACCCGGGACCCGCCTGCCCCCTTCTTCACAGCCTCTCCTGCCTTCTTCTCCCCCCCCCAACCCACCTCCGCGCCGGCTTTTTCGCTCCCTGGGACCCCGCGGAGGCGCCAGGGCAGGCTCCGACTGGTTCCCGCGCCCCCTCCCCTTTCCCAGCCTTCCTTGCACCCGCTCGCCCCGGAGCCTATTTTTAAAACCAACTTTGCCCAACTTTGCCGGGGTCTGCAGCCCGTCCCTGGGCAGGTCTTCCTCCCCCCCCCCCCCCCCCCGGAGGGGAAAGTTCCCTCTCGTTCTCTCCCCCCCCCCCCCCCCCCGCCGGCCCCAGCTCGGCTTGGTCTGGTCTGCACACACACACACACACACACACACACCCTGCCCGCCCCGCTCTCCCCTCCGGGGGCATCCGAAGGGAGCCGAGCAAGACCCACCGCAGCCTGGGCGTCCCAAGCGCCGAGTCCCAGGGCGAGCAGCAAGAGGAGGCGACGGGCGCCCGGGCGCAGCTTCATCCTCCACCTCCTCCGGGAGCCCCGCAGCCTCGCCGGAGCTGACCCAGCTCTTCGCCCACCCCCCAAAAAAAGGGAAAAGGGAAAAAAAAAGGGAAAAAGGAAAGCAGAGGAGGATGAAGTGGGCAAGGACTGGGCAGGGCTGGGCCGGGCGAAGCGGCTCTGGGCGCCCGCCTCCGCGCCCGCCTCCGCCTCCGCCTCTCCCGGCTCCGGGCTCGCCTTCGCTCGGGCGCGCGGCCCCGGCCCGGCCTCCCTCCCTCCGCGCGCCCCCCCGTCTCTCTCTGGGGACTACTTTGCCTGCCTCTCGCCGCCCGCGCGCCCGCCCTCGGCCCGGATTCATGCGCCGCCCCCCGGCCGGCTGGCCTGCGCCGCTGGCGGATGGGATTTGTAGTTCCCGCGGCGGCAGCCGGGCGCGAGCCGCTGGTTGGGCCCCCAAGAATTCAATCTGAGTTGAATGTAAAAAAAGGAAGGAAGGAAGGAAAGGAAGAAGGGAAGGGAAGGAAGGAGGGAAGGGAGGAAGGAAGGAAGGGAAGGAAGAAGGGAGGGGAAGGAAGGAAGGAAGGGAAGGGAAGGGAAGGGAAGGGAAGGAAGGAAGGAAGGAAGGAAGGAAGGAAGGAAGGGAAGAAGGGAAGGGAAGGAAGGAAGGAAGGAAGGAAGGAAGGAAGGAAGGAAGGAAAAGGAAGGAAGGAAGGAAAGGAAGAAGGGAAGGAAGGAAGGAAAGGAAAGAAGGAAAGGAAGAAGGGAAGGGAAGGAGGGAAGGAAGGAAGGAAAGGAAGAAGAGAAGGAAGGAAGGAAAGAAAGAAGGGAAGGAAGGAAGGAAGGAAAGGAAGGAAGAAGGGAAGGGAAAGGAAGGGAGGAAAGGAAGGAAGGAAAGAAGGGAGGAAAGGAAGGAGGGAAGAAGGGAAGGGGAAGGAAGGGAGGAAAAGGAGGGAAGGAAGGAAAAGAAGGGAGGGAGAAAGGAAGGAAAGGAAGGGAGGGAAGGAAGGAAGGAAGGAAGAGAAAACTTTTATTTTTCATCTCCCCCCCTCCCCCCCCCTTCTGTTGCTTGATTGTTTCGTTGTGCGAAGCCCTGGTTTGTTTAGGCTGGGCTAAGCTGCCATGCCTTGCGCTGAATTGGGAAACGTTTGTAGAGGGTTTTCCGCGGAGTTTGGGGGGACTCGTGGGGGGGGGGGGGCGTTCTGGCCCTTGTGGTCTGAGCCGCAGACAAACCAGCGGTGCGTTCACCGGTTCTACAACCCGGGTTAGTTCCTTTCGGTAACGGAGGGGGATAGTAAATTATGAACCAGCAGGAGATTCCCAGAACTAGCCGGAGGAATAAAAGTCGATTTTCTGCGCGAAGTTCTCTGATGTGAAACGGGTCAGTTTGCCCCCCTCCCCACAGCTGTGTTCCGACGACCTAGGTGTCAGCGCTGCGCATGACTCGCTTTACCAGTGTTAACGTAACCTCTTCAGCTGGGTTCCCAGAACCCTCGCGTGTGGATTCGGCGCTTTCGTTAGGGTTATTCAAGGAAACCAGGGGGAGCGTTGCACCCCATCTTCAGTACTCCAGACGGCCCCTTTCCCCCAGTTTCACGCGCAACCAAGAACTTTCCCACAACCAGCGGGGTGAGCGGGTTGTTCCACGCAACAAGGAGTCCGCAATAACCGAGTCTGTCAATCCGAACAAGACTTGCAGAAGGATCCTGTCCGGGGCAAGTCTGGAAAGTTTAGTCAGTGGGAACTTTTTAAGGTTTTTGCAGCCTCCCAATGTGTGGGGACCTAGCGCCAGAGAGCTGTATGCGTGTGCGTGTGTGTGGGAGAGTGCACCCCAACGGCTGCCGTCTCTCAATCGCTCCGTTTTGGGGCGTCTCGCTCGCTTCCACAGCTAAAATATACCCCATTATCTGAAAACCCGGACAGTCCCCGCCAAAGTCTCCAGGGAATATAACCAATCTCTGCAGCTTTTGGAGTTTTGAGAAGCCCCGAAGACTACTCCGAGTTTGAAGACCGCAGAGGCTGACGGGGGGGGTGTCTTCTGAGCCTCAGAAGACCCCCCCCTCATTATTTGTGCATTCCCACGAGATCCTGACCCGTCCTTTCCCGAACCACCTGTTCCCCAAGTCAGTTCTCAAGATGCGCTGCTCCCCCAGACCCAGGTGCCAAAAGTTAGCCAAGAGTCCAGATGAGACAGTCCATTTTCTTGACTGGGGGATGGGGGAAGGGGCTTCCTCGTCTCTGAGACGGGGCAGGATTCCCACGGTCGCGGGAACCCCATTGACTCCAACCTGGAAGAGGGGGGGCCCTCTTGGTCCTAAAGGAAAAAAGACCCCCGCTTGGTCCTAAAGGAAAAGGATGGGAACCCCTCAAACGAAACGCTTGGTTCTGTGCCAAAGGCGCACGCACGTGGGGACGGACCCAGCCGGAAGCGGGCACGGGCACGCGGGGAGGGGGAGAGGCGGGTGGGGGAAGGGGGTGGGGGGGGAGAGGAGAGGCCGAGGCGGCACTGCGGCTGCTTGGAGGGCGGCGGCTCCGCCCTCGTCCCCCGCCCCCGCCGCCTCTCGGCCGCGCGCCTTGGGCGCGGAGCGTTCGGCGGGCTCCTGCGGGGTTGTCTCCCCTGCCGCTTCGGGAGGGCGGAGACCTCTCTTCACGTGTTCCTGCCCGCGCGTCCACACGACCGGCCCTTCCCGCTGCCGCCTCCCCTTCTCTGGAACGGGGCGTGGGGGGTCCCGGCCGCGGAAGGGGCTCCAGAGCCGCGTTCTCCCGCGGGGTCCAGGCGCTGCCCAGCAGCTCCGGAGAGGCAGCATGTTCGCCGGGTGAGTGCCCAGATCCGGAAGAAGAAGAAGAAGAAGAAGAAAAAAAAAGGGGGGGAGGATTTATTTGGGGGGGTCGCGTCCGCCGTGGGAAAAACATTTTGACACCCCCTCCCCTTTTTTCTCTCTCCTTTTTTTGGGGGTTTGCAGCGCGCCCGTCTTGGTAATTGCCCTGTGCCTGGCAGCGCGTCCCGTCCGTGGGGTAAGTCTCTCGAATCAGGGTCCAAGGGGTCGGAGAGCGCGGGAGGGGGAGACCCCTCCCCACTTTGGCAGGGAATCCCATCAGGACGACTTGGCCCCTGAGCCCTGGGGGGAGGAGGAGGGCAGTGGTCTCCTCTGGAGGAAGGTCGAGGTGGGTGGCAGCAGGCAAGGAAAGTTGGCCAAATCCTTGCAACTTGGAGAAAGTGCAAAAAAAAAAAAAAAGTTGAGATCCTAGGAAAAGTGATGGGCAGGGGGTGGCAAGGACCCAAATGTGATCTGTGGGGCTCGGTCACCCCTTCTCCTGCTGGCTGGGGCTGGCTGGAGGGTCGCCTCCCGCTGCAGACCCCCGCAAAATCCAAAGCAACAGCCTGGTCTATCAGGAGGGCTGGGAAACTGCAAAAAATATACCGAATTGTTTTTGGGGTTTTTTTTTTTCTGGAGCACGTGGACTTGGCGGAGGGCCAGAATGCCTGAGGCCAGCTCCTGTCAGTTGCTGCCTTTGCAGCCTCTACTCTCAAGTAAGCTGTAAAAGTAAGCAGAGGGGTTGACCGGTCCTGTTTTGTGACCAGTTTTGTCCTCTGGACAGGACAATCCATTCTTGCCTTTTTGACCTCTGCTTTTCTTTTCACTCCAGGGCAGGGGTCTTCAAACGTGGCCCTTTTATGACTTGTGGACTTCGACTCCCAGAATTCCTCAGCCAGACACGCGTGCCTGGCTGAGGAATTCTGGGAGTCGAAGTCCACAAGTCATAAAAGGGCCACGTTTGAAGACCCCTGTCTTAAATCTAACAAACAAAATGGAGGCTGGCTGAGGAATTCTGGGAGTCAAAGTCCACAAGTCATAAAAGGGTCAAGTTTGAAGACCCCTGTCTTAAATCTAACAAACAAAATGGAGGCTGGCTGAGGAATTCTGGGAGTCAAAGTCCACAAGTCATAAAAGGACCAACTTTGAAGACCTCTGCTGCAGGGCCTAACTTGGCCCTCTGAGCCTACATGTCCCCTGGAGTTGGGTTGGCCTGCCAGGCCGGACCAAAGTGGAAGGTTGTGATTCTGTGTGCAACACAAACACACGCTTGCAAAGGGGGTCAAGGAAAGAAAGTCCCACTGCAGTAAGAACTGAGAATTTAAGATATCTTCTCTTTTCATCCTTCGGTGGTTTCCAAGCCCCATTGGTAGGAAAAGTGGGGCTGCGACCGTCATAAATATGAACCAGCTGTCAGGCATCCCAATGTAAATCACACGACATTGAGGATGCTGAAAAGGTTGCAAGTGTGATAAATGGACACTTAACAGACTGTTGTAAGTCGAGGACTACCTGTACTAAATGAGACAGGAGGAGGTCAACTCTTTTTTTTTTTTAAATAGCCACTCTATTATGAACATGTTTAGGATAAGATTTTCTTTTAAATATCGTCTAGTTAGTAGGTTCTTGGGTCTAAGTGTCCAGCTCAGCCATGGCTTGGTTAATTTTAAGTGTCGGGAAATAGGCCATCAGTTTAATAAAAGGCAGGATATGATAATTTTAGGTGCAGGGTCGTTGACTCTTCTGAACTCTCGAAGCAAAATGTATTGTGCCAGTTTTAGTTGTGTTCACATAACATGTTAGGGGCTAATTTGTGGTTAATCTTGACCTCTCTTGCTAGCTAAAGCAGGGGTTCTCAACCTTGGCAACTTTAAGACTTGTGGACTTCAACTACCAGAATTCCTCAGCCAGCTTTGCTGAAGTCCACAAGTCTTAAAGTTGCCAAGGTTGAGGACCCCTGAGCTAAAGGTCGAGTATATTGTGTGAACTTAGCAATTGGGTTAATAATAATAATAATAATAATAATAATAATAATAATAATAATAATAATAATAATAATAATAATAATAATAATAATAATAATAATAATAATAATAATATAATGACAAAAAAATCTGGATAGTGGACGTGGCAGTGCCTGGAGACAGCAGAATAGATGAGAAAGAACTGGAGAAGATCACAAAATACAAAGACCTACAAATAGAAATAAAAAGACTGTGGCAAAAGCAAGCAAAGGTAGTACCAATAGTAATAGGTGCCTTGGGTGCAATCCCAAAACAACTGGAGCACCACTTGAACACCATCATTGGCATTGACAAATTCGCCATTAGTCAATTGCAAAAGGCGGCCTTACTAGGAACTGCTTCCATCCTGCGACGATATCTGTAATACCATCAAACATCCACATCTGCCTATCCCAGGTCCTGGGTAAGGACTCGATAGGTAGACAAAATGCCAAATCCAGTCTGAACATCTGGCTGACTGTGCGATGATCCATAACAACAACAACAACAACAACAACAACAACAACAACAATAATAATAATAATAATAATAATAATAATAATAATAATAATAATAATAATAATAAAGTTGGAAGGGACCTTGGAGGTCATCGAGTCCAACCACCTGCTCAGGCAGGAAACCCTACATCATTTCCCCGAAAAGGGTCCATTGTCATGTTGTTATTTTTAAAATCAGGCATACAAATGCGATATTACAGTAGCAAAATGCATGTATGTTTTGGTTTTTTAAAATGTCAATAACTGCTTTGTGTTTTTTGTCTGTATTCTTACAATCTTCTCCAAACCAGAAATTTTACCTTGGCATGAAATGACTACCTAGGTCAGGGATCCTCAACTTTGGCAACTTTAAGACTTGTGTGGACTCCAACTCCCAGAATTCCTCAGCCAGGAATTCTGGGAGTTGAAGTTCACAAGTCTTAAAGTGGCCAAGGATGAGGACTCCTGACCTACGTCTCACCTCCATCCATTTCAGGTGTTGAGCTTGCTGGAAGTTAGTTTCTCAGCATCTGGAGGATGGCAGATTTTCTGCTTAGGCATCATCCTGAAGTCATCACCCAAGTGAGGTGTGCAATGACACACAATGATGCATGCAATAGTGTTTTGACACCCTCGTGGCTTCTGACAAGTCTCATTCTCCTCTGGAGAACCAGCACGTTGTATTGGTAGAATTACCTTCTGCAATGCTTACCGTAAATATACCGTACAATTTACGATCGCAGCAGAGACCAGGAAATTGGTTGTTAAGCAGTGTGGGTGTTAAGCGAGGCATCATGTGACTGCACCTGATTTTGCCACTTTTTTTTTGTAGCAGTCGTTAAGCAAATTGCTCGGTTTCCCATTAACTGTCGAAAGCCAGCTGAGAAGGTCAGAAATTGCAATCCTGTGACTCATGATTCTGCAGCTGTCATAAATTATGTACTGGTTGCCAAGTGCCCAAATCATAACCATGTATGTGACTGGGGATGCGGTGACCGTCATAGGTGTGAGGATGTACTACTATTTTTCAGTTCTTTGGAACGTTGAAGTGCTGCTAAATGAATGGTTGTAAATCAAAGGGGGTTTCCTTTATCAAGCACCTTGATTTGGGGTGCAGTATGTCACCAGCTGATTGTGGTAGTTAACCACTCAGACAGCTGTGATCAACTAACAGTGGTTGCAACTTATTGGGCAGTTTGTGTGTACACCCGCAAGTATTAATATGTTAGAAAGGAGCTACAGCATTTTATTTCTTTCCTGCGGTACAAGGCTGTTGATGTGACTCGTGGTTTACTGCTGTGGCGTACCCAAGAGACAACCAAAAATGAGTTTTTGTAGGCTTGTCAACCCAAAGCTTAGGCATACCCATTTGTACAAGTTTCACAAAAATTAACTTAGCAGGTGTAACAATCTAGATTTGACACACATTTGTTGTTGTTAGTTGTGAAGTTGTGTCCGACCCATCGCGACCCCATGGACAATGTTCCTCCAGGCCTTCCTGTCCTCTACCATCTTCTGGAGTCCATATAAGTTCACGCCTCCTGCTTCAGAGACTCCATCCAGCCACCTCCTTCTCTGTCGTCCCCTTCTTCTCTTGCCCTCCATCTTTCCCAGCATTAGGCCCTTCTCCAGGGAGTCCTTCCTTCTCATTAGGTGGCCAAAGTACTTGAGTTTCAACTTCAGGATCTGGCCTTCTAAAGAGCAGTTGGGGTTGATCTCCTCTAGGACTGACCGGTTTGATCACCTTGCAGTCCAGGGGACTCGCAGGAGTCTTCTCCAGCACCATAGTTCAGAGGCCTCCATTCTTTGGCGCTCAGCCTTTCTTATGGTCCTACTTTCACAGCCATACATTGCAACTGGGAGAAGCATGGCCTTGACTATACGTACTTTTGTTGGCAGGGTGATGCTTTTTAGTATGCTGTCTAGATTTGCCATAGCTTTCCTCCCCAGGAGCAAGGGTCTTTTAATTTCTTGGCTGCAGTCCCCATCTGTGGTGATCTTGGAGCCCAGGAAGATAAAATCTGTCACTACCTCCATTTCTTCCCCATCTGTTTGCCAGGAATTGAGAGGGCTGGCTGCCATGATCTTGGCTCTTTAGTTCCTCTTCACTTTCTGCCATTAGAGTAGTATCTTAACATGCATAGATAGCATGAAATACACTCGTAGTACTTTTGAATCCTATCCTGGCTCCTGGTTTTGTGCACCGGACATTAATAGAGAACTGAAGGACCAGAGGAACATGCAGGGACCTGAGTCTTAATCCACTGAGGCAGAAGAACCAGGGGGGGGGGGGAGAATCCAAACTAGAGCTGGATTGCAGTCTATAGCATCATAAAGCGCAGAAGTTGAGTCTCTGCAGCTTGCTAGATACCATTCTGTCAATTTAGCATAAACTGAATATTGCTTCACTGTGGACCCCTTTGAGCTGCTGCACAAGTTTCAAAGTTCTGCTGCCCTTGACTTCACCTCCCACACTAGGCTGAACTATTCTTGGTTTGCAGGCCTCTTGACCTTGCCGTGGTCTCCTTCTGGTCCTGTTCCAAATGAGAAGAGAGAACGCTTGTTCCAGTCCTGTTGTTTAAAACACCCTTTTCTGGTGTTACAAATAAGTTCCACTGATGGCTGGCCCTAAGCAACTTCTCTGTGGACAGAAGGCCTCTTCAGGCCCTCTGCTTGGTGAATTTGGAAAATGTGATCTT